GATGTTTCACTACATACATGCATTGTCTAATGATTAAATCGGGGTAGTTAGCATAGCCAGCACCTCATGCATTTATCATTGCTTTGCAGTGAGACAACCCATCATATTCTAAATGATCAGTTTACACGCTCAGAAGCTTCTCAAAGTCAAGAGCCAAGCCTTTCTCATCACCACATTCTTTGGGGAGCATTTCCATCTATGTTTGTGTGACCCACAGCACAGTAAATCCCTTGCACCTGGCGTAGTGCCTGACTAGGATTGAGTTCCTGAGTAGGAACTCATTCGATGTTCCAAGCTCAGCATTGGATTCTGCAGGGAGAGAGGAATGGAAGAGCCCTCTCACAGATTTCTAGAATCCTTATGTCAGGGTCATAACTAAAGTCCAGAGTTGGCGACCTCCAGAGTATGGGCCACAACGTCATAGTTTCGGTCGACTGGCAGAACTTCAGGACACTGCTTACCATAATTGCCATAATTTTTCTCTCCCCCTTTCCAAAAAAATGCCAAGTGCCTCCATATACCACTGGACAAAGGAAATGCAAATAATGATAGTGATGATCGCTGCTTTTCCAAATACAAGGAGCCCTGAGCTTTTTGTTCAACTCATCGCTCCTGTAAAATCATAGACTGTTATTCCTGACTTTTTTACAGGGCACTCAGACTAAGAATTCATAAAATCACAGCATTCTAGAACTGCATGGAGCCTGGGAGTTTCCAAGCGAGTCTTTCTTCTTAAAGCTGCTTCCACCTTAAAGAGATTCGGTTCCTTTAGAGCTGCCTAAGACAGGGCAAATCTTACCTTCTTACTTAATTACTGTCTTGCATTTTGCAAATACTTTGCTGGTTTCAGAAACCAGTGTTCTGGGTTTTGTTGATGCTGCTGCTGCTTCTGTTGTCGTTGCTGAGTTATTAGCTTTGGCAGTGTTAGCACTGGCAGCTGAGAGTCCCTGATTCACAATCCGGTGCTTTATTTGCCAAGTGTAGACACAACCCAAAAGCTGGAAGCTGAGCACCCAAAGGAAGAGGGGCTGGTCCCCCTGGCATTGTGTGCTTTGCAGAGAGGAAATGAGAACGCACCAGGCCCGCTCCTTCCCCTCACCCTATCTCCTGAATGCAGTTTTTCCAATAATTTAATAACATTCACAGGGATATTAGATTAATTGGATTTTAATTCCGAATGACTGTGAAAGCGGAGAAATGAGTCACCAGCTCATGCTAATGAGAAGATCTATTAAGGGCTCTTTTCTGATAGACACATACAGCAGGGTTATAAATATTTCATATCCAATTAATTGAATTTTGCCCCCTATATATGACACTGCCCTGAAACATCAATCAAACAGGACCAGAGAAAGAAAAGAGGGATGGAAGAAAAACTAAGCGCTTCTTTGGAACAGCAACAACACGACTACTGGTCCTGCCCTCCCTCCCAGCCCCTAAAACGTTCCCCCCACCATGAGAACCCCTGCCATTCACAGGGGGCCTGCCGAGAGGAGCTGGAAGCATTTACACCAACTGCAGCTGGTTCCATACGGCGGGGAAATTAATGTTAATTAATCAGACAGCAGTTTTATACAAGGCTGTGTGCAGAAGGTTATTCGAGTCCCGCTGCAAACAGATTTATAGGTGTCATTGCTATGTTGAATGACCCTCTGTAAATAGGCTCATTAAACTGGCCATCAGTCAAAAAGTCTAATTGTAGCCATGCAGTAGCCTGCAATCGGGAATGTGTGGCTCTCGATAAACAGCTCGCCCACGGCAGCCTGCGCTCTGGATGGTTTAGATAGGGCTGCTGGCCATCCTTCAGGTGGCCCCAGCTTCTCTGCCTCCTCCAGTTCATTATCTCAGCAGGAAGGGGAAAGCATGCCATCCGCCCAGCTTTATCCTCTTCTCTCTGTCCACCCCCTGAGAGCACATGGAAGTCTGCAATGGCAAGGACTGACTGGAGACCCTGTGCAGAGCAGGTGAATAGAGTTTTCTGAGAGGCATGAATAATCACCAGCCTGCTCCATTATCTTACCGGTGTGGTCACGGTGGGCAGAAACAAGTAGCCAGCATGTACAGGGCATGCATAGGCCCCATCTCTGAACATCCCCACAGCAATTTACAAGCTCCCTGTCAGATTCTTATTCTCCTTTCTTTTTATTCCCCCACACCCCCATATCCAAAGAATAAATACAATTTATTTTTCTCCATATGTGAAAAAAAACTAAGCTGTAGTTACAGCTGAAAGTCTCTGAAAGCTTTTTGAAGTGAATTGTATTTATTTAATTAAAAGCAAGCTAGGCCAAGTGCAGTGGCTCACGCCTGTAATCCCAGCACTTTGGGAGGCCAAGGTGGGCGCATCACGAGGTCAAGAGATCGAGACCATCTTGGCCAACATAGTGAAACCCCATCTCTACTAAAATACAAAAATTATCTGGGCCTAGTGGTGCCCACCTGGAGTCCCAGCTATTTGGGACGCTGAGTCAGGAGAATTGCTTGAACCCGGGAGACGGACTTTGCAGTGAGCCGAGATTGCGCCACTGCACTCCAGCCTGGCGCCTGGTGACAGAGCAAGACTCTGTCTCAAAGACTAAAACAACAACAACAACAACAAAACAACCTAAATGTCCATCAAAAGGGGTCTGAGTGTCCACATTTTGACATTTATAGACAATGGAATACCAAGGACATATTTAACATAATTTTCATAGAGGTCTATATTTATTAATCCAGAAAACAGTCTATGATGTATATTTGCATGGTCAAAAAAGCAGATTACAGAACAGATACAATGTGTTTCCACATATTTATCTGTGGCTATACAGAGAAAATGTAAGTTTTTTTTTTCTTGTTGTCCCTCCATTCCCTCTCATAATCTCCTATTCAGCAGTTAGTAGAAAGCAAAAAGCAAACACACAGAAAACTAAATTTCTAATTTTGATTAAACTCAACCCAATATGACCATGTAAACAGTCTTTTCACTAATACTCTGTCTCTATTAGGAAAACTTCCCAGTTTTGACGTGGCTTCCTATACCGGTTAATTTTGTGTCCACTGGACTGGGCTATAGGGTGCCCAGACATATCATTATTATGGGTGAGTCTGTGAGGGTGTTTCTGGATGAGATTTGCATTTGCATTGGGAGACTGGGCAAAGCGAACTGCCCTCCCCAGTGTGGGTGAGCTTCAGCTAATCTGTGGAAGGCCTAAATGGAACAAAAATGCTGAGTAAGGAAGGATTCACTGTCTTTCTGTCTGTCCTGGAGCTGGACATCGGTCTTCTCATGCCTGCAGAGTCACACTTGGCCTGGAATTTCCACCATCAGCTTCTCAGGCCTTTAGCCTCAGACTGAAACTACACTATCAGCTCTCCTGGATCTCCCGTTTGCCAACTACACATCTTAAGACTTCTCAGCCTCCATAACCATGTAAGCCAATTCTTTATAATAAATCTCTTTACATAGTGCTCTTATTGGTTCTATTTCTCTGGAGAACCCTTACTAATATATTCCCTTTACCCGCTTCTCTTCCCCAGATGTTGCCCAGGCATGTGAGCTGAGAACTGTGTGTTGGGTGCGGGGAAGGGCCAGGCCTTTGATGGTCTTTTGAGTAGTCTCTGGTGCCTGGGGCAGTGTCCTTTGTCCCTCAGCTAATTTCTGTGGCCATGGGTCTCTTTGTCAGCTTGCCCAGAGTGGGAGCTCCTTCCTGATAGATTCAGTTTTACCTGGGCTTCACAGGCCTCAGACCCTAGATCTCTTTCAAGCTCCCCCTCCAGTTTGCAGGCCCAAGGGCTCACCCAGCTTTGTAGCCGAGCCATTGGGCTTCACCCTGAAAAACTCCTAAAGCAGGCTCTCTGGGCCTCCATCCATCAGCTACCCCACATAGAAACGAGGAAATCAAGAAACAACCTCAGGCCTCCGTTGGTCTGACTGTGATCACCTTTGAGATGGTGCAGCTGTGTTCAAGCTGGGGTTAGGACATGTTGAAAGGGGACTTCTTCCCGGAGTCCTGAGTAAAGAATCACCTTTCTGCCTTCCACCTCACCCTCCCTTATGAAACACACCTCCCGGGCCCAGAACACCAGGATGGACTTGGAATCACTCCCTCTCTCCCCTAAGTCTCCTCTCACCTTCACCTAGAGCTGGAAAAAACGTCCTCCTTTATGTGCCATACATCCTACCCTCCCTCGGCTTACAAGCGGCCAGTCTTGTGATAAGCAGGTTCCTCTGGGCTAGGCCCTTGAGAGATGGAAGAGAGAGGATCATGTTACTTGGGCAATGCTCTCTCTAGACCCTAGAGAGCTGTCTACTGCCTTGTCTTCTAATCTATTTTGTATGCCAGAAGCTGAAAATGGCCTTATTCTTTCTCTTTGTTTACCTTCTTTTAAAAAATCCTAGGTTTTCCCAAGCCTGATGAATATCTAGGGCCAACTTGGAAGACGGTCCAAGCTGCAAAACCAAAAACAAAAAGGTACAACAGTGATGCTAAAATATTAGCTTCTTAGTGTTTATACATGCCTGGTATCATGTCTGCAAGAATATTCACCGCAAAGCTATCGTTAACTATTTCTGAATACAATAGTTCCGTCTGATCTGCGATTTCACTTTCCACGGTTTCTGTTACCTGAGATCACCTGTAGCCTGAAATATTAAATGAAAACTTTCAGAAATGAACAAATCATAAGTTTTAAGTTGTACACCGTTCTGAGTAGCGTGGCGAAATCTCACACTGTCCAGCACCATCCACCTGAAGCGTGAATCCTCCCTTTGTCCAGCCTGCCCATGCTGGAGATGCTCCCTGCTCATTACTCACTTAGTAGCTCTCTTGGTTATCAGATTTTTTAAAAACATAGTATATAGAGAATTTGCTACTGTCGCAGGTTGCAAGTCATCCCCTGGGGGTCTTGCAACATATCCCCTGTGGATAAGGGGGGACTACGGTGGTAGGAATAGGAAATTAGGATGATTTTGAACTTTCTTCATTTTGCTGACACCAGCTTTTGCGGCATTAAGAGAGTCAGTTCCTTCATTAGTAGCAGGTGCTGAGGAAACACCATGCCCAGGCTCCATTGTAGGTGCTGGGAATGTAGTGGTGTCCAGGAGAGGTGGGAGAGGGCAGCCAGGGAAGGACCGCTGTGGCCCAACCTATGTTTCAAAGGCATCGCTCCAGCTGCGTTGCTGAGAATACAGTAGAGGCAGGGTGTGATGCCAGGCTGGAAGCAGCACCAGTTATGAGGCTCCAGCAATGTTCTAGGAGAGCAAGTCAATGTTTCCCTGGTTGAAACTGCTGACCCCGCACATTAGTTGCCTACAGCTGCTGTAACAAAGCATCACAGACTCAGTGGCTTAAAACAACACAAAACTGTCATCTTATAATGCCGGTGGTCAAAAGTCAAAATTAGTTTTATTGCGCTGATTCTCTTCAGGAGACTAGAAGAATAGTATTTCTCTTCTCCATTCCAGCTTCGAAGGGCTGCCCACATTCCTTGGATCAGGGCCTTCTTCCATCTTTAAAGCCAGCAATGGCGGATAGAGTGTCTCACTATGTCTTACTTGTGAGTAGTTGGGCCCATCCAGATAATCTAGGTTAGTCTCCCTATTTTAAGGTCAATGGATTAACAACCTTAATTCCATCTGCCACATTAATTCCCATTTGCCATAAAATATATTCATACATTCTGGGGATTAGGGTGTGGACATCTTTGTTGGGGATGGGGCATAATTCTGCCTACCCCATCCCAGCAGGCCAATCAGACTCTTTCCCATGAGATTTTTTTTGAGATAGGGTTTCACTCCCTGGAGTGCAATGGGCAATGGTGTGATTTCAGCTCAATGCAACCTCCACCTCCCAGACTCAGGTGATTCTCCTGCCTCAGCCTCCCAAGTAGCTAGGACTATAAGCATGCATCACTGTGCCAGGATAATATTTGTATTTTTTGTATATATGGGGGTCACCGTGTTGCCCAGGCTTGCCTTGAACTCCTGCACTCAAGTGATCTGCCTACCTTGGCTTCCCAAAGTGCCAGGATTACAGGTATAAGCCATCATGCTTGGCCCCCCCAATATTTTAGCATTGACAGAGACGTTCATCAGTCAGGTTTCTGATTTGACCCTATAGAGTGTGAGAATTAAATGAGATAAACTCAGTTCTTATTTACACAATAAGTTATATATTATAACTTATGTAACTATAATTAATATACTTGCAGTCACATATTCAATGCTCAGTAAAGGTTAGTTTCTATTGGTATCATTAATTATCCTTAGAGATGGGCTTAATTGTTATGCTTAAGTCTCCCCATTATTTTAACTTCAATGCATTTACTAATAACATTTACTGAGTAGTACTAGTGCCATATGCCAGGTGCTTTGTATGCACTGTTCATTTCATCTTTAATTCCTTTGAGATAATTACTGGTATTATCCCATAATAAAAGTGAAAAAAAAAAAAAAGACATGGAAAAAAAACTAAGTCACATGGTCGAGGGCATACAACCTAGAAGTGGCGGCAGTATCTGAATCCCAGGCTCATAACTTTAACTCTAATCTGCCCCAGCGTTCATGATAGCACTGTGACTTGAGAACTGAGAAGATGTGAAGAGTGCTTTTCATCAGTTACACAAGAATAACATCATTTAACATTTTTTCCTCATAAAACTGACAGATGATCATTGTATGAGATTCCACAGTACAATACAGAAAGGTGGTTTCTTTGGATTCCAGGTAACACACAAATGTCAAATTCATTTAAATAAAACAAAACATTCATTCTTCTTAGGGAAGAATGAAGTTTGAGGTTAAGCTTGCGAAGCCCAAGAGCAGAAGTGGCACATGGTCTCCCAAGGAACTCACTCAAACAGAATCTCAGGAAATAACTTAAAAAGTGGTCTGCATGTTCAATTTTTTGGAAAGGGAAGTGGTTACCTATATTTAGTCAAGTCAGTCAACAAACATTCATTGAGGGTAACTCTATGCCAGACATTGTAGGAAAGACAAGAGAGCCATGGTTGACAGTTCCTGAAAATGGCAGATTAAGATGGCGAATAGGAAGCAGGATCAGCTTGCAGCTCCCATTCAGACAGACAGAGGAGCACCTGGAGACTCACATCGTGAACTTTTGCTCCAAGAACTATCACAGAAACATACCAAGAAAGCCAAGAGAATTCACAGACCCTCTGAAGGAATTGGATCACTGCTGCATGCTCCCGGAGATGCTGAAACACTGTGAGTCGCTTGCTTTCTCCAAGTGGGGGCTCATGGTCTGTAGCAAGTTCTCAGCCCTAGTCACCAGCTGCCTGGAAATAGACTCGGTGCTATTATAGGGGCGCAGTGGGAGTGAGACCAGCCTTTATGACTGCAGGCTGCATGGGAGCAGGGTGAAACCTGTGACAGCTCCCTGTGACCCCAACTTGTATAGCTCAGAAGAGGCAGCCATAATCCCCCTGGGAATATAACTCCATTGGACTGGGAACACATTCCCATCCCCCACAGCAGTTGTAGCAAGCCCCAACCAGGGAGAGGCTAAGCTAAGACATGCCTATCCCTGCCTGCACCTGGTGGTCTTTTTCTACCCTCCCAGGTAGCCAAAGTCAAAGGTTATAATCTCTTGGAAGCTCTAAGACCCTGCTCACTGCCTAGAAAACCTGAATACTTAACCAGATGTCCCTAGGGCAAGTGTGCATCCTGTCTGTAGGACCATAGCTGATGCACTGTTGCAAAAGCATCACCCCTTGGATGGAGGCCAACGCAAAACCAGCACACTAAACAAAAATACAGTCAAGGACCCACACAGAGTCCACTTCACTCCCCTTCTACCTCCACGGAAGCAGGTGCTGGTATCCACAGATGCAAGAGCTGAAGACGGGTCATATCACAGGACTCTTTGCAGATACTCCCCACTACCCCAGCCCGGAGCCAAGTAGCTCCACTGGGTGGCCAGACCCAGAGGAGCAAAATCAATCACTATAGTTTGGCTCCCAAGAAGTCCATTCCTAGCAGAAGGGAGACCAAATCAAGGGAGCATTTAGTGGTACAAAAGAATCTGAATGGCAGCCCTTAAATATCAGATCTTCCCTCTGACATAGTCCACCCAAATGAGAAGGAATCATAACAGTTCTGGTAATGTGACAAAACAAGGTTCTTTAACACCCACAAAAGATCATACCAGCTCACCAGCAATGGAACCAAACCAAGATGAAATCTCTAAATTGACAGAAAAGGAATTCAGAAGGTCAATTATAATAAGCTAATCAAGGAGGCACCAGAGAAAGGAAAAGTCCAACTTAAAGAAATCAAGAACATCATCCAGGATGTGAGAGGAGTATTCTTCAGTGAAATAGATGGCATAAACTTAAAAAAATCACAACTTCTGGAAATCAAGGACACACTTAGAGAAATGCAAAATGCACTGGAAATTCTCAGCAATAGAATTGAACAAGCAGAAGAGAAAACTTCAGAGCTTGAAGAAAAGGCTTTCGAATTAACCTTAATTTATCAAAGACAAGGAAAAATGAGCAAAGCCTTCAAGAAGTTGGGACTATGTTAAATATCCAAACCTAAGAATAACCGGTGTTCTTGAGGAAGAGAAATCCAAAAGTTCACAAAACATATTTTAGAGAATAATTGAGGAAAACTACCCTGGCCTTGCTAGAGAGCTAAATAGTCACATACAGGAGGCTCAAAGAACACCTGGGAAATTCACTACAAAAAAATCACTACCTAGGCACAGAGTCATCAGGTTATCTAAAGTCAAAACAAAGGAAAGAATCTAAAGATCTGTGATGCAAAAGCATCAGGTAACGTGTAAAGGAAAACCTACCAGATTAACAGCGGATTTCTCAGCAGAAACCCTCCAAACTAGAAGAGATTGGGGTGCTATTTTATCCTCCTTAAACAAAACAACTATCAGCCAAGAATTTGTATCCAGTGAAACTAAGCTTCATAAATAAAGGAAAGATACAGTATTTTCCAGAAAAACAAATGCAGAGAGAATTTGCCACTTCCAAGCCAGCACTACAAGAACTGCTTAAAAGATCTCTAAATCTTGAAACAAATCCTTGAAATACACCAAAATATAACCATCTGAAAGCATAAATCTCACAGGACCTATATAACAATAACACAATTAAAAAAATAGGTTTTCAGGCTGCAAATAGCACAATGAATGGTACTTCACATCTCAATACTCACATTGAATGTATATGGCCTAAATGTTCCACTTAAAAGACACAAAATGCCCTAAATGTTCCACTTAAAAGATGCAAAATGGCCTAAAATATAAGGACTCACATAAACTTAAAGTAAAGCAGTGGAAAAAGATATTCCATGAAAATGGACACCAAAAGTAAGCAGGAGTAGCAATTCTTATATCAGACAAAACAAACTTTAAAGCAACAGCAGTTTAAAAAGACAAAGAGGGATATTATATAATGATAAAAGAATTCGTCCAAAAGGAAACTGTCTCAATTCTAAATACATACACACCTAACACTGGAGCTCCCAAGTTTATAAGACAATTACTACTAGACCTAAAAACGGAGACAGATGGCAACACAATAATAGTAGGGGAATTTAAAACTCCACTGGACAGGTCATCAAGACAGAAAGTCAACAAAGAGCAATGAACCTAAACTATACCCTACAGTGAACAGACTTAAAAAATATTTACAGAATGTTCTACCCAAGAACAGCAGAATATACATTCTGTTCATCAGCACATCAAATATTTTCCAAGATAGACCTTATGAGAGGCCACAAAACAAGTCCCAGTAAATTAAAGGAAACTGAATTTGTATCAGATAGTCTCTCAGACCACAGTAGAATAAAATCGGAAATCACCTCTCAAGGAGCACAAAAGGACAATGTAAGGTCATACCTTACAGAACTGGAGAAATAAGAACAATCCAAATCCAAACCCAACAGTAGGAAAGAAATAATAAAGATCAGAGCAGAACTAAATGAAACTGAATATAAAAGATAACTGAAATAAAAAGATGGTTTTTTGAAAATATAAAAAAAATTGATAAACCAATAGTGAGATTAACCAAGAAAAGAAAAGAAAAGAGAAGATCCAAATAAGCTCAGTTAGAAATGAACTGGGAGCTATTACAACCGATACCACAGAAACACAGAAGATCATTTTAAGCTCCTATGAAAACCTAGAGGAGATGGATAAATTCCTAGAAATATACAACTCTCCTAGATTAAACCAGGAAGATACAGAATCTCTGAACAGACCAATGACAAGCAGCAAGATTCAAACAGTAATTTTAAAATTACCAACAAAAAATGTCCAGGACCAGATAGATTCACAGCCGAATTCTATCAGACACTCGAAAAATTGGTACCTATCCTATTAAGAGTATTCCAAAAGATAAAGAGGGAATCTTTCCTAACTCATTCTATGAAGCCAGTATCACCCTAATACTGAAACCAGGGAAGGACATAACAACAACCACAAAAAAAACTACAGACAATGTCCCTGATGAACATAGATACAAAAATCCTCAATAAAATACTAGCAAGCCAAATCTCAGAGCATATCAAAAGGGCAATCCACCATGATTAACTGGGTTTCATATCAGGGATCCAGGGATAATTTAACATATCTAAGTCAATAAATGTGATACATCACATAAACAGAATTAAAAACAAATCACATGATCATCTCAGCAGATGCAGAAAAACCAGCATCCCGTTATGATTAAAACTCTCAGTAAAATCAGCATAGAAGGGACACATCTTAAGATAATAAAAGCCATCTAAACCAAACCCACAGCCAATCTTATGCTGAATGGGGAAAAGATGAAAGCATTCCCCATAAGAACTGGAACAAAACAAGAATGCACACTTTCACCACTTCTATTCAACATTGTATTGTAAGTCCTAGCCAGAGCAATCAGACCAGAGGAAGAAATAAATGACACCCAAATCAGTAAAGAGGAAGTCAAATGGTTGCTGTTTGCTGGTGATATGATCATATACCTAGAAAACCCTAAAGACTCATCCAAAAAGCTCCCAGAACTGGTGAGTGAATTCAGCAAAGTTTCCAAATACAAAATTAATGTACACAAGTCAGTAGCTCTGCTACACACCAACAGCGACCAAGCTAAGAATCAAATCAAGAATTCAACCCCTTTCACAATATCTACCAAAAAAAAAAAAAAAAGAGAGAGAGAGAGAGAAGAAGAAGAAGAAGAAAATACTTAGGAATACACCCAACCAAAGACATAAAATATCTCTACAAGTAAAACTACCAAACACTGCTGAAAGAAATCATAGAAGACACAAACAAATGGAAACACATTCAACGTTCATGGATAGATAAAAATCAATATTGTGAACACAACTATACTGTGAAAAATGACTATACTACAAATTCAATGCAAATTCTATCAAAATATCACCATCATTCTTCACAGAACTAGAAAAACATTTTAATTTATATGAAACCAAAAAAAGAGCCTGCATAGCCAAGGCAAGACTAAGCAAAAAGAACATATCTGGAGGCATCACATTACCCAATTTCAAACTATACTATAAGGCCATAGTCACCAAAACAGCATGGTATAAAAATAAGCATATAGACCAATGAAACAGAATAGGCAACCCAGAAATAAAGTCAAATACTTATAGCCAGCTAATCTTCAACAAAGCAAACAAAAACATAAAGTGAGAAAGGACACCTTATTCAACAAATGATGCTGGGATAATTGGCAAGCCACATGTAGAAGACAAAACTGGATCCTCATCTCTCACCTTATACAAAAAGCAACTAGAGATGGATCCAAGACTTAAATCTAAGACATGAAACCATAAAAGTTCTAGAAGATAACATTGGAAAAACCCCTCTAGACATTGGCTTAGGCAAAGACTTCATGACCAAGAACCCAAAAACAAAGATAAATAGATGGAGCTTAGTTAAACTAAATAGCTTCTGCAAAGCAAAAGAAAAAAGCAGAGTTAACACACAACCCACAGAGTGGGAGAAAACCTTCATAATCTATACATCTATACATCTGACAAAGGACTAATATCCAGACTCTACAAAGAACTCAAACAACTAAGCAAGAAAAAAACACACAGAAAGCAGAAACTGGACCCCTTCCTGACACCTTACACTACAATTAACTCCAGATGGATTAAAGACTTCAATGTAAGACCTAACACCATAAAAACCCGAGAAGAAAGCCTAGACAAAACCATTCAGGACATAGGCATAGGCAAGGACTTCATGACTAAAACACCAAAAGCACTGGCAACAAAAGCCAAAATAGACAAACGGGACCTAATTAAACTCCAGAACTTCTTCACAGCAAAAGAAATAATCATTAGAGTGAACCGGCAACTGACAGAACGGGAAAAACTTTTGCCATCTACCCGTGTGACAAAGGGCTGATATCCAGAATATACAAAGAACTAAAACAGATTCACAAGAAACAAACAAACAAACCCATCCAAAAGTGGGCAGAGGATATGAATAGACACTTTTCAAAAGAAGAGATTTATGTGGCCAACAAACACGAAAAAATGCTCATCATGACTGCTCATTAGAGAAATGCAAATCAAAACCACATTGAGATAGCACTTCATGCAGGTTAGAATAGTGATCATTAAAAAATCTGGAGACAACAGATGGTGGAGAGGATATGGAGAAATAGGAATGCTTTTACACTGTTGGTGGGAGTGTAAACTAGTTCAACCACTATGGAAGACAGTGTGGTGCTTCCTCGAGGACCTAGAGATAGAAATTCCATTTGACCCAGCAATCTCATTACTGAGTATGTACCCAAAGGATTATAAATCATTCTATTATAAAGAGACATGCACATGTACGTTCATAGCAGCACTGTTTACAAGAGCAAAGACCTGGAACCAACCCAAATGCCCACTGATGATAGACTGGACAAGGAAAACGTGGCACATATACACTGTGGAATACTATGCAGCCATAAAAAATGATGAGTTTGTGTCCTTTGTAGGGACATGGATGAATCTGGAAACCATCATTCTCAGCAAACTGACACAAGAACTGAAAATCAAACACCGCATGTTCTCACTCACAGGTGGGTGTTGAACAATGAGAACACATGGACACAGGAAGGGAAGCATCACACACTGGGGTCTGTTGGGGGGTGCTAAGGGAGGGACAGTGGGGGGTGGGGAGGTTCAGAAGGTATAAGATGGGGAGAAATGCCAGATGTAGTATGGGTGATGGGGGGATGGAGGCAGAAAACCACATTGGCATGTATGTACCTATGCAACAGCTTGCATGATCTGCACATGTACCCCAGAACCTAAAGTACAGTTTAAAAAAAGAGAAGAAAAGAAAAAATCCCATCAAAAAGTGGGCTAAGGACATGATAGACAATTCTCAAAAGAAGATATACGAATGGACAAAAAGCATATGGAAGAATGCCCAACATCACTAATGATGTTGAAAGAAGTGCAAATCAAAACCACAACACAATACCACCTCGTTCTTGCAAAAATGGCCATAATCAAAAAACTTAGAAAAGAACAGATGTTATGTAAAAGGAACACTTCTACACTGCGTGTGAAAATGTAAACTAGTACAACCACTATGGAAAACAGTGTGGAGATTCCTTGAGGAACTAAAAGTACATGTACTATTTAATCCAGCACTCCTGCTAAAACAAGTCATTGTATGAAAAAGATACTTAGATACTTGGACTTGCTTCTCTGCAGCAGCTCAATTTGCAGTTGCAAAAATCTGGAACCAGCCCAAATGCCCATCAATCAACAAGTGAACAACGAAAATGTGGGGCATGTGTGTGTGTGTGTGTGTGCCATGAAATACTACTCAGCCATAAAAAGGAATGAGATGATGGCATTCACAGCAACCTGGATGGAATTGGAGACTATTGTTCTAAATGAAGTAATTCAGGAATGGAAAACCAAACATTATATGTTTTCACTCATATGTGGAAGTTAAGCTATGAGGATGCAAAGGCATAAGAATGATACACTGGACTTTGGGGACTTGGGGGAAAGGGGGTGCAAAGACCCATGAAAGACTACATATTGGGTATAGTGTACACTGTGACAGGTGCACCAAAATTTCAAAAATTACCGCTAAAGAACTTATTCGTGTAACCCAGCATCACCTGTTCCCCAAAAGCCTATTGAAATAAAAAAATTCAGGCTGTGATATCTCATGGCCACCCCTCTGTCGATGAATAGCTAGCACCTTGACTAGCCATTACCATGATCTGTTTCCAGGATCCATCCAGTGAGAGTGTGTCCCGACCCGCAGGATGAGCAACGGAGACCCTAGGAAGGGAGTGGGGATTAAAAGAGAGAGACAGGAGACGCGGAGAATGGAGACAAGTCAAGGATCTGATCAAGTCTCGTTTATTAGCTACAAGGCGGTTGCTTATAAACAAGTGAGGGCGGGAAGTTCTGAGGGCTGAGGTCAGAGAGTAACCATGGAGACGAGGCTGCAGGCTAGCCTCCTAACTAGGAGGAATGTGAAACTTAAACAATAAGGGAAGCCCACAAGATGGAGGTTTAGGTAAGAGGAACAAAAGCTTAAGCAACATAGTTATAAGATGGCTACTGCCCCCCACAAGAGTGCAGACTAGATCACAGCATATGACAGGTTAGCCTGTTCCCTTTGTAGGGCTTTGCAGATGAGAGGCAGAGGGATCAACCTAACTCCAAATACAACTTCAACTTCTTGAAACTACTACTACTGTCCCCAAATCTTCAGTGGCAGATTCCTAGAAAATAAGACCATAACTAGACCTACATTTTCATACTACAACTTTTCAACACCTGGCAAATATCCCATAGTATAGAATTAGTCACAAGTGTCAAACATCTGCTTGTCACATTCTGACTTGATCTAGAGATACTGCTAACTATTCCCATCAAGTAGTGAGAAGGAAAATGTTTATGATTAATGCCCGTTCAGTAACCAAGGAAGGATTTAGCCTTCCTGTCTCTGAATTATCATATCATTGCACTTTTTTTTATTCTCCTCAGTCTCTGATCATTTCTCTTTATCTTCTTTTGCGTCCAAGCTCTGTGTGTTTCCAAGGTTAAGATCTTAGAAACAAATTCTTTGTTCTTTGAAAGTTAAAAAGAACTCAAGAGTCTTTTAAAATCTCCTGTTTTCAAAGGTAAATCATCTTTAATGACCCTACAAGTTGTTCCGAAGACCGTAACTGTAGAATTACTATTCTACAGTTATAGGCTGCCAAGTTTGGTCACTGGTAATTTACCTTTGGCTAGAAAAGTATGTTTTCTTTACATTTTCAAATACAGACTTGCATATAATATCCCTTCGTAATTATTTTCACCACGTGAATACCTGTGGGTGCATCTCTGTTTTCATTCCAATGCTGACACATTTGTTTTTCTTTCTATCCAACCTTCAGCTGCTGGGCTTTCTTGGCCCTCTTCTCTATTCCACTTGCTCCTTAACCTCCCCCACGCTCACGGCTTCAGGTACCATCTATGTGCTAAATGGCCTCACACTTTTATCTTCAGCACAGAACTCATCCCTGATCTCCAGAGCTACAAATTCGCCACCTGCTCTAACTCTCCGGTTGGATATTTTAAAGGTATCACATACATGTTGTGCAAAATAGAAGTCAGCAGCATTCTCTGTAAGGCTGCACCTCCTACTCTCCCGTGTTTCAGTGAATGGCATCACCCATGGGCTCTACACCCTCCTCCACTCAAGTCTACCTCATGTCCTCAATTCCTCTTGATTGCATCCACTCCTCTCCGCCTCCACTGCGACCCTTCAGCACCAAGTCACTCTAAGCGTTCTCTTGGATGCCTGCACTGCCTGCTACATGGGCTCCATGTGCTGCGTTCCCTTTTGTCCTCTTTTAATGGCTTCTCTTGCTGCAATCTAAGCCATCTCTTTTAAAATCGTGAAATAATTTCAGACTTACAGAAAAATTGCAAAAGCAGAGTGAAGAATTTATTGCACCTGGGTTATTCAAATGTTACATTTTCCTGAATTCTGAGCATCAACAAATATTAATGTTTTGTCATGTTTTATCACTGTTCATTTTTCTTCATAGTCACTCTCACTCGCATTCATTCTCCCTATCTCTACTTTTTCTCCTAAGCCATTTGAGAGTAAGTTACACACAAGATGCCCTTCTATTTTAAGTATTACAGTGTGTAAAGACAAGGATATTCTTTGAGATAGTCTCAGTACAATTATGAAAATCAGGAAATTGGCATTGATCTAAGGTCTAATCTAGAGATATTTTTCAAATTTTTCCAATTGTCTCCCTAATGTCCTTTATAGCAAAAGAAGGAAGTGCTGGTTCAGAATCCAGCCCAGACCACACATGGCCATGTCTCTCCAGTTTCCTTCAACCTAGAATAGTTCCTCAGTCTGTCTTTGGATACTTCACTGTGTATGCATGTTTGTGTTTTTAAAGGAAACAGGGCACTTTGTAGAACGTCCCACCCGTTGGATGTGTCTTATGTTTTCCCACAATATGATCCAGGCATGTATTGTCGGCAGAAGTATCACAGAGAGATGTTATGTTCTTCTCAGTGCATTATATGAGGAGGTACATGATGTCGATTCATCCATTAATGGTGTAATGGTAACTTTGATCACTTGGTGGAGTGGTGTCTGTTAGATTTCTCTATTTTTTTTTTTTTCTCTCTTGGCAATCAGTAAATATTCTGTGGCAAAGTACTTTGACACTATATAAATATCCTGTTTCTCATCAAAGTTTCACCTGTAAAATTTAGCATTAAATGATCTGCTCTGCGTTGGACTTTGTAATAACTTCCCATGTCTTTAAGATAAATTCTGAAATCCTTAATATAGCCAAAGGCCCTGAAAGGTCTGGTTCTTGCTTACATTATCAGCCTCATTCTGAGCGCCTTTCCCCGCTGCTCTCCACTCTAACCACACTGGCCCACTTTCAGTTCCTTTCTAACGCACTGCACACCTTCCCTATTCAGGATTTTCACATAAGCTGTTCCTTTTTCCTGGAATGTGTGCGTCCCGGTTTCCTTTTGCTTAGTTAATCCTGGCTGAGCACGGATGTCACGTCTACAGAGAAGTGTTCCCTGTTCCCTCACACTACGTTGAGTCCCATGTCCCTTTTTCAAAGTTGCAGGACTCACTGTTGGTGGCCTGTCATTGTTCTTCCTCTGAGATTAGTGAACAAGTCGCCATTAAAAGGGAACAATTAGAGAATACAAAACATTAGAAATCAAGCACATGAAATTTCTTAATTCAATAAGAATAATGAACTGTAAATTAACATCTAACTAATAAGAGTCCAGAGAGGGAGAAGACACAACAAAAGGAGAAAACTCTCAAAGAAATAAGAAAATAAAATGTCCCAGCACTGTGGAAACTTGACTTTGCATATTTCAAGGATCTGCCAAATGTCCAGAATAGTAAATAAAGAACGACCCACACCAAGACATGAAGAAATATCAAAACGTGACACATTTCTGTGAATAAAAACGTTTGGAGCCAAAAGTAAAAACATCTACAATGGAGCAACTGACGAAGGTTTATTTCTCTTTAAACCTCTAAGGAAAAACGGCTTTCATCCATAATTTCTGTCCCCTACCAACCTCTTAATAAAGTTTTGAGTAGACTAGACATCATGTCTCGTGCCATCTCTCTCCTGAATAATCTTTCTGTCTTACTCTAGTGGAATAGCATCAGGAGAAAGATTGAAGTTAAAAAAAAATGGAGAAAATCAAGAAAGAGTTATGCAAAAGACCCCAAGAAACAGGGGAGGACCTGGCGCAGTGGCTCAAGCCTGTAATCCCAGCACTTTGGGAGGCTGAGGCAGGTGGATCACGAGATCAAGAGATCGAGACCATCCTGGTCAACATGGTGAAACCTGTCTCTACTAAAAATACAAAAATTAGCTGGGCACGGTGGCGCATGCCTGTAATCCCAGCTACTCAGGAGGCTGAGGCAGGAGAATTGCCTGAATCCAGGAGGCGGAGGTTGCAGTGAGCGGAGATCGTGTCATTGCACTCCAGCCTGGGTAACAAGAGCGAAACTCCGTCTCAAAAAACAATAAAAAAAAATAATAATAATAAAAGAAATGGGATTCACTATAGGAGGGTGGCATAGGCAAGTCCTAGGTGGATGAAGATGAGCAGTCCGCCAAGAGAGCAAGGAGCCTACATTGAAGGAAAACAGAGGGCTTCAGGAAGATATCTCCACGGGGGGAAAAGGGGGCATTACTCGATAATAATAAGGGATTGACCATGTGAGAAATAATATTGAGGGACACTCATGAGATCTGTGAGATAGTTGGGAAGGATGACCAATAGGTACAAAGAAAACTAGGCAAACTAAAAAATGACAATTATTAATCCAGGAAAAATAGGTTGTTCAAGAAAAGAAGTATTATCAAGATACAACACTTGGCTTAAGGGTGGACAGTATTTACATAGTAACGATGTAAATACTGGATCTTAGCAGAGTGGAGGAAGGGGAAGTGAACAGAGGTTTAAAGAGGTTCAATGTATCATAGTAGGAAGTCAACAGATGAGGTCTAAAATGGGTAAATCAAAACAAGTCAGTAGGATGCTAAGCAGAAATATGGAGATGAAATAACAGAAGAAAGAGATTGTGAAGAGTTGAAGTTGAGTGCCTCTGGGGATCAGGACTGGGGAAGGTGCAGGAGCAGAAAAGGGCAGAGCACTGTGCAGGAAGAGCATTCCAAGCAAGAGGCTGCAAAGGTCACTGCAATCCCAGGTCAATTTACCAGGCACCTTTTTCAGACCCCAGATTCCTCTAGGCAGAGATATTGATCCGTTTGTGTCACGTATGTGACACCTGCATACGTAATCACATAACTAACGACACAGCTTTGACCAGAGAGGATGAAAGAAGTGACGCCCCTGCAGTATTCCACAAATTCTTTGTCTCTGTTTGAGACAGAGTTTCACTCTGTCGCCAGGCTGGAGTGCAGTGGTGCTATCTTGGCTTACTGAATCCTCTGCCTCCCAGGTTCCAGCGATTCTTCTGCCTCAGCAGCTGGGACTACAGGCGCGCACCACCACGCCCAGCGAATTTTTGTATTTTTAGTAGAGATGGGGTTTCACCATGTTGGCCAGGATGGTCTTGATCTCTTGACCTCATGATCCGCCTGCCTCAGCCTCCCAAATTGCTGGGATTACAGGCATGAGCCACTGCGCCAGTCTATTCCAGAAAATCTTAAAGACACATGCTCAGGTTCCACTATTTATATCAGGTTGCTGCAAAAGTAACTGCAGTTTTTGCCATTAACAAATACTTTTTGCCACAATTTGATTGTAGATTCTGTGCCTATAAATTAATGCTGGTTGGTTTTCTTCCAATTACCTTCAAATAATTTAATGTTTCTAAAGTTAAAATTAAATGTTATTTATAGATACTATTTCTTACTGAACTGGCCTGCCTGGCTTTTGATTGTGTTAAATGTTTTCTTACATGCAGGTAAATGAGCAAACCTCATATATGTTTGAACAAACATAAATGTTCAGCTAAATGTTCACCAAGTGCACATCTGTGCAACAACTATCCAGATCAAGAAAGAGTGCG